TGTATAGACTGTGGGGCATTGCTTAAGCGAAAGTCGCTGTGGAGGCATGTGGCCAGGTGCCGGCTTTCACAGAAAGATGCCCAGGCTAAACCAGGTAGAAGTAGGGTCCAGTCCCTCTGCTCCCTAGCCCAGCCTGTACCGGAGGGCATCAGCAAAAAGCTGTGGTCTTTAATTTGGGCAATGCATCAGGATGAGGTCACGGGTGTTGTCAAAGCAGAAAAGGGGATTCTGAGACTCGGAGAGCACCTGTACTTAAAACACGGGCATGATAAGACTAAGCATGATTACATTAGGCAGAAAATGAGAGAAGTCGGTAGGTTAATTAACGAAGCAAAAACTGCAGGGAAACTGAAAACAATGAAGGATTTCTTTATTCCTTCCAACTTTAACCATGTGATTGATGCAGTCAGGTCTGTGGCTGGATATGATGAGGAAACAAATCAATACAAGACTCCATCCTTGGCCCTCAAACTCGGCCATAGCCTCAGAAAGCAAGCAGATATTCTTGAATGTGACTCAAAAATGGAGCATTGTGTTGATGAACTATTTATTAAAAACCTCCAACGAAGCCGGCTGCTTTTTGAGAAGAGGTGGGACGTCTGTGTTTCTTCTGCTGCCCTACAGACCCTCCGGCAAGCCAAGTGGAACACTCCGGACCTGCTCCCTCTGACTGAGGACGTTAGAGCCATGCATGCACATATTGAGGTATGTCGACCTGAATGTGTGCAAACCCTAATAAGTGAGCCAACGTCTAAGCATTGGTCTAAACTGGCAGTTTTGACTCTTTGTGAGGTCATTATTTTCAATCGAAGAAGGGAAGGTGAGGTTTCAAAGATGCCACTGACAGCGTTTACCTTAAGAAGTAAGACTGGGATCCATTCTGACATGGCTCTGGGACTGTCCCAACTTTAGAAAAAGCTGTGTCAGCATTTTCAACGCATTGAAATTAAACGTAAAAGAAATCGGAAAGTGCCGGTTCTTTTGACTCCTGAAATGATTGCTTCGATGGAGGTGCTGGTGGAGAACAGAAGGGCCTGTTCCATCTCTGACCATAACCCATACTTCTTCTCCCGCCCGGGCGCAGACACCCACATCAGGGGATCAGACTCCCTACGCCAGGTAGCCAAAGAATGTGGTGCGGTGCATCCAGAGATCAATCAATCAATCAACTTTATTTGTATGGCGCCTTTCCAACACAAGGCCACTCAAAGCGCCTCACAACCCACATAATATCACACAAATCAGAGACATCAATAAATACATTAAAAACAGAATAAAATCACAAGTAATAAAAAAAAAAAAAAAAAAAAAAAAAAATATTAAAAGCACACACGGGATTAAAATAATAAATAACCACAATGCAAAAAAAAAAAAAAAAAAAAATATTAAAAGCACACACGGGATTAAAATAATAAATAACCACAATGCATTAAAAAAAAAAAAAAAAAAAGAGTATGTATCAATAAAATCCTTCAGCCGTATGCACAGCTAAAAAGAACAGTTTTTAGCCCTGATTTAAAAATTTCCAGAGTAGATGCTAGCCTCACATCTTCAGGAAGATTGTTCCAGATTTTAGCTCCATAAATCTCAAACGCTGCCTCCCCATGTTTAGTTCTGACTCTTGGAACCAGTAAGAGGCTACCTCCTGTGCTCCTCAGAGTCCGGGCCGGTTCATATGGGACTAACAAGTCGCTTAAGTACCCTGGTGCGAGGCCATGGAGAGACTTGTACACAAGCAGTGCTGCTTTGAAGTCTATTCTCTGAGCCACAGGAAGCCAGTGCAGAGACCTGAGAACTGGACTAATGTGGTCATATTTCCTGGTCCTGGTCAGGACTCGAGCTGCAGCATTTTGGACATACTGCAGTTGTTTTACAGCCTGTTTGGAGAGACCTGTGAGCAGGCCATTGCAGTAGTCTAACCTACTGGAGACAAATGCATGGATGAGAATCTCCAGATCTGATTTAGACACTATGTTTCTGATTTTTGAAGATGCTATCCTCAACCAAACTTAGAAAGCACATAGCTACTATGTCTACAGTTCTCAATATGAAAGAGAATGAAATGGACATGAAGAAAATATAATTTTCGGAACATGTTTGCAGGAACATCGGTGAAACGGAAATGTCCGTCTGTTTACGGAGTCAAATTGTGGAATTCTTTAAGTGTGGAATTTAAATGTTGTACAAGTGTTTACAAATTCAAAAAAATGTACAAAGACAAAATTCTGAGTGATTACGAAAAAATTGAAAACAACTGAAGTGAACTGTAAGACCAGCTGTTTTGTTATGTTTTGTGACCTGGTGATGAGTTGGGGTATAATGATGGGGATTTCTGATTTTATTTTGTAAATTTGCTAATGGGAACAGATATTACAAGATTAATCTTCATTCTGTTCCTTTTTGTTCATGTATGGATTTTTTTAAAAATGGTGTAATGGCCTGACATGACATGAGCAAATAAATAAATACATAAAAACATACTAGCCAACTTCCTCGGCCATGACATTCGCATCCACAGACAATATTACAGACTACCAGAGGGGACACTGGAGCTGGCCAAAATCAGCAAAGTGTTGATGGCCATGGAGCAGGGAAGAGTGACAGAATTCGAAGGAAAGAGCCTCGACCAGATACAAATTGAGCCTGAAGGTAATTCTTGATATTATTAAAATATGTATAATTGTTTTCCCCTAAAGGCCACTTGTATTTTTATTTTCTGTGCGACAGGGAGAGCAGTAGAGATCCTCTCACAAATGGACGGGCTAAAAGAAACTTCAAGCGGAGAACCTTCAACCATTCATCCAGATGCACCCCATGGTAGTGGCAGTGCCCCTTCTGGTAAGTGTACCAGGTGGGGGATTACAGCCAGGCTGCTTGGTCCTAACCCTGGGAGTGTATATTGCTAATATATTTTTATTTCTCTCCCTAGAACGTTAGAGAAAGCCATGGTCTGCATCTGAGGTGAAGGCTGTGGAGAAGACCATGACACCTTTCATACAGACTGGAAAGGTCCCTGGGAAGTCTCACTGCCTGGCCTGGCCTGGCCTGGCCTGCATTAATGCCTCACCAGATGACCTTAGACATCGGACATGGAGTGGCATTAAATTCTATGTCAAAAATAGAATCACTGCAATTCGAAAAAAAAATCAAAATTAAATTCCTTTAAAAGAGTTGTTTGGTTTCTATTGACTGTTTTGTATTACTTAAAGTAGTCCCAGTAAAAAAAGATTATGTCTATGGGTCCCATTCTGAACGGCCCTGTCAAAGGGACCCACCAGGTAACAAAAACGTGTATGTGTGTGTGTGTCCGTTTACATGTGTGTGTGTTTGTGTGGACTTGTGTGTGTGTGTATGTTTAAATGTATGTCTGTGTGTCTTCGTTTACATGTATGTGTGTGTGCGTGTGTGTGTGTGTGCGTGGACTTGTGTGTGTGTATGTTTAAATGTATGTGTGTGTGTGTGTGTGTGCGTGGACTTGTGTATGTTTAAATGTGTGTGTGTGTGTGTGCGTGAACATATGTTTATGTGTGTGTGTTTGAACGTTTACATGTGTGTGCGTGGACTTGTGTGTGTGTATGTTTAAATGTATGTGTGTGCGTGGACTTGTGTGTGTGTATGCTTCATTTGTCCCACAGCGGGAAATGTCAGTGTTGCATCACAAGTTACAGAACAGTGGGAATCAGCAGCGCACAACACAACTCTATACTCTCACAGATCAAATCTCTCTTTACTATGGCTTTGACTTAGAGAACTTTGTGCTGGACCCAATCATTCCCAATGCAACTGTGTGTTATATAAGGTGGAAGGTGCTTTAGTAAATTCCGAGACAAAAGGAAGTAAGCGTATAGAAAATATATAACAACAAAAAAGAGAACTAACTCTTTTGCAGCGGTTTCGGCATACAGTACAAATGCACAGGGGACTGCATGATACTTCACTTTCTCAGTCTGAGTTTTTTCCTTCTTCTCGTTGGGGTGTGTCTCCGTTTACATGTATGTGTGTGTGTGTGTGCGTGTGTGTGTATGCTTAAATGTATGTGTGTGGACTTGTGTGTGTATGCTTAAATGTATGTGTGTGTGTGTGTGCGTGTGTGTGGACTTGTGTGTGTATGCTTAAATGTATGTGTGTGTGTGTGTGTCCGTTTACATGTGTGTGTGTGTGTGCGTGTGTGTGGACTTGTGTGTGTGTGTATGTTTACATGTATTTGTATGTGTGTCCATTTACATGTGTGTGTGTGTGTGGACTTGTGTGTGTATGCTTAAATGTATGTATGTGTGTGTGTGTGTCTGTTTACATGTGTGTGTGTGTGTGGACTTGTGTGTGTATGCTTAAATGTATGTGTGTGTGTGTGTCTGTTTACATGTGTGTGTGTGTGTGGACTTGTGTGTGTATGCTTAAATGTATGTGTGTGTGTGTGTCTGTTTACATGTGTGTGTGTGTGTGTGGACTTGTGTGTGTATGCTTAAATGTATGTGTGTGTGTGTCCGTTTAAATGTGTGTGTGTCTGCAGAGCCATGAGGAACACATTCCAGTGAACACAGCTCATCAGTCGTCAAACCCATTTGAAAAAAAAAGCATAAAAATACAAAAGGATTCTGGTCTGCGATGGCATTTTAAGATTGAGAGATCCTTTATTTGTCCCACAGCGGGAAATGTCAGTGTTGCATCACAAGTTACAGAACAGTGGGAATCAGCAGCGCACAACACAACTCTATACTCTCACAGATCAAATCTCTCTTTACTATGGCTTTGACTTAGAGAACTTTGTGCTGGACCCAATCATTCCCAATGCAACTGTGTGTTATATAATGTACATAAAAAATAGGAAGGTGCTTTAGTAAATTCCGAGACAAAAGGAAGTAAGCGTATAGAAAATATATAACAACAAAAAAGAGAACAAACTCTTTTGCAGCGGTTTCGGCGTACAGTACAAATGCACAGGGGACTGCATGATACTTCACTTTCTCAGTCTGAGTCTTTTCCTTCTTCTCGTTGGGCAGAGTTCAACACGAGCAGTTTCTGCAGAGGGGGCGGGCCCACGTCCTACTCCAGGTTGAGGATCCTGAGGCTGGAGGGGAACCGCATCAAGGCGCATCAGCTGCCAGCGGACTGGATCTACTGCCTCCGCCTGCTGCAGCGCCTCTACATCTGACCCCCTGCTGTGAACACTATGGGACTCCCACAGCAGTCAATTCGACGGCTTTTCATTTTGGAAGTGTGATTACTCCGCTTATGTATATTTTTGGTCTTGAAAACAACTTTTTCTTGTTTCTATATATAGATTATTGCTATGTTATTGTGTTTATGAAATGATCTCGGTGGTTCGGAGCAATCTCAGCTCGGACCAAGTGCCAGTTACCATGGCAACACTCTTTTTACTTGCATCATTCGGGCATTTAGTTTTGCTGTACTTAATTTATATTCACCAGTTCTAGCATGAGTTTGTGTAAGCTCTCAGTCGTACAGGGATTAGTCAAAGCAAAGGAAGGTTTCTCACCCATCATCTGTACTTCTTAGCAAGTTTTCCCGACGTTTCGTCCTCAAACTAGCGGACTTCTTCAGGGAAGGAATTCTTCTTCAGAGAATTCATTCCCTGAAGAAGTCCAGATGATGGGTGAGAAACCTTCCTTTGCTTTCAGTTCTAGCATGATTTAAAGATAAAACCTGTATGAGTTACTTACATTTAATAAAATCAGTGAAAAATGTAAAAACAATTTGGGGATTTTTTCCGAATTCCATCCATTTAAATGAGAGCCGTCAAAACGACTGCTCTGGGAGTTCTAGTTGTTTCAGAATTCTGGCAGTCCTAGTGTTAAGGACAATATATTACTTTAAATGTCCCCAGTGCAGGATGAATAAAGGTTCTCTTGTCTCGTCTTATTTGTGCTTTTGTGACTTGAGTATTTGCTTTGGCTGAACAACTTTGGTAAAACACCTTCTTGTAGATTTTCCAATACTAACTATTTGTCATGTCTGTTCACTTTGTCTTGTTTTTAGATTTATGTCCAGCTTTAGATAAACTAACAATAAATGAGTAATGTTAACTTACTGTAGACTACTCAGTCAACATTCTCTCCTTCCCCTCTGGCTTTGTGTCTGGGCGCACCCGTAGAGAGAGAGGAGCTCAGTCCCCCGGTATGAGCTCGGAGTAGAGCCGCTGCTTCTCCACATCTCCAGTTGAGGTGGCTTTTTTTTTGGTAATAATAACAAATAATGGGTCGTTTTTTCACAGCACTTTTTAGACACTCAAAGACGCTTCACATACACTTCCATACACGGTGGTAATTAACTATATTACTGTCGCCGCAGCTGCCCTGGGGCACACTGACAGGAGCGAGGCAACAAATCTGTGCCAACGGCCCTTCTGACTACCACCACCCTCCATTCACACACACACACACCAGACTCATTCCCATTCTACAGGACTATAAACCAACAAATGAAAGCTCCGAGGCTGAACCAGTAGCAACACAAAATCTGACCAAAACCAGCAAAATGGAGAAAACAAAACCAGCTGAATCCGGGCGAGTAAAATATGCATTCATAAAAGAAAAGGATTCCTGAAGACAGGCCCAGAGAAGCCCAGGAGGTTCTGCCAGACGATTGGATCCAAGAATTCTTTAATAAATGCCCGTGGATCTGCAGTTCTTGTTACGTTTCTGCGATTTGGTTTTTAACATCTGTAAGTTATTCTCAGAAGGAACAATGTCTCTGTTTCTCGACTCCAGAGACATGAAGAAAATCGGAGTCATCGATGACACGGTCTGAACAAGATGCAAGTAAAGAAAGAAGTCCTGGATCTGGTGGCGCTTATCAAACTAGTCACATAAACACAGTGGTGGGTTACAGGCTCGAACAACATCACAGAGAGGTCATTTTGACTGCTCTCATTAAAACCAATGAAATGTTGCGAAATTAACCTAAAATGTGGTTTAGCTTTTCATCAGTTTTAATAAAAGTAAGTCATTTATAATTGGGTTTTACTTTTACTGACTTGAACTAAGAGCTACAACCAGAGGCTACAACTTTCCATAGTTTGTTGAAAAGCTAATGCTAAAGACCAAAAGCTAACAGTAAACGGTGTGTTGCTATGGTAACCAGCACTCACTCATCACTGGAAGGAAAAACAAACTTAACCAAAACCAGTCCAGGACCAGAACCAGCACTGATACTGCCACAGAATGTTGATTAAACAGTCAAAATGACGGGTCGGGAGGTAAACGAGAACTCCTCTCATTTCACTGGAAACAAAAAAAGTGTCAAAAGTGATGAAGACCAAAAATATAACTACATGAGCTGAGTAAGTACGCGTCCAACACTTATGGGCTCGACACACGGGAGGCGACATCGCATCGCCTCCATTCATTTTCAATGGGACGTGCGCGACATAGCGTCAATCGCTAGCGAGCCTCCTGCTCAGCGACGGGCAAAAAACGTGCGTGTGAAATCCTCCCGCTCGTGCATGTATCGTGCACGCGCAGGTCAGCGACGCGATCCCAGAAAGTTGAAATTGGCTCAACTTTTCGACGCTGTCGTCAAGGACAAATGTTTGTTCTTTCCTAATGCAGAGGATTGTTCTATGTTATTTATTTTAAGTTAAAGAAGAGTTTAAGCACTACAGGAAATAAGCTATATTTTTTGTGCCTTTTTGTGGTTCATATAAAGGGCAATGTAAATGTGAATAAAAAATGCATTGCCAACCTATGCGTCATACATTCTGGACATTACCAATCACTCTTTTATAAACACATAGAATAGATGTATGTAATTGGTAATAGAAAAACATGATGGTTATTATTACATGATTACTCTTTTTACATTGGTGATTTTATTAGGCTACATGATTACATTACATTCTTATTTCTTATATCTTATATGATTATTTTTTATTGTTATTAGATGATTATTTTTGTATCATTAATAATGCATGATTATTATTTCACATTATATTGACTTACCTTAGACAGATAGCCAGCCGTTCTTCAGGGCTTATAGGCTCCCTCATGTTTGTGTGGATCTTCTCTATCTCTGGCGTTACCAGGGTGAGAAGGTGGGAAAACAGCTCTGGACTGAGCCGAAAGTATAGGCACGGAACTGATCAGGATCAGTTTTACGGTCCCTCACTAAGTGATGGTATTCTCCGTGTATTTGTCTCGTCTGCAATATCGGATGGACCCATTCACGTCTTCTCCGCTTCTTGTTGAGCAAATTCAGGAGTAATATTTCACACAGCTCTAACAGAATCTTTTTACGATCCATAATTGCCGCCGGACCCCTTTTGACCCCTGAACTGTGTTTATATAGTAAGTAGTAAGTAATAGTAGTAGTAATCTTTATTTATATACCGCCTTTTCACTGCACATCGGAGTCTCAAAGCGGTTTACAATTGTTATTTTTATTTTTTATTTTTTTTTAACCCCAACGTTTCCTCTCTGACAGCCAATCAGCGCAGCGCATCGCCGGCCTGTGCCGCTTGCCGCATCGCGCCCCGTCTGTCATGTGATCTGAGCGACAGCGTTGAGTTTCGCTGATCGCTCTCATTTGTCGCCTCCCGTGTGTCGAGCCCTTAAAACCGTCAAATTGGCTGCTCTTAGAGTTGTAGCGTTAATTAAACAACAACTTTGTGCCTCTGTCTGTGACCTCACTATTGTCAACATTTGCTACTCTCTTCATTAATTATTCTTTTTAAAATCTGAATATTGATCTAAAACTATTTAATAAAGTTGCTCATTTCAAAACTTAAAACGAATCAGACAAAACCGTCGACAGTGATTCAACAGCAAGAGCTGCATGGTCACATCTCCCTCGTTCACGAACTCTCAAAGTGCGTCGTGCTGTTTCCTCACATTTGGTGGAAATGTCAAACTTTTTCTGTACGATTACAGAAGTGATTCATTCTCTGTGAAGTGGATTTGTTTCCAGAATATTCTGACATTCAGAGGAAAGACCTGAAACGCAGCGAAGGGAAGTGTTCGTTCAGCAGAATCACAGAAATTCACCGAGCAGCAGCAGCGGAGACCGACGCTTCCTTCTTGGATGTTGCACGATTTCACTGTTTGATTCTGTTTTGAATCCAGCGGTTTCCAAAGTGGGGGGCAATAGCAGGGGGGCAATAGAAGGGGGGCAATAGAAGGGGGGCACGGGACAAATGAATGAACAAAAATACAGAAGGATAATTGACACTGCTAGCATAAGATAGACACGTTTTTTGACACATTACAATCTGCAGTTAGAGCTGAGGTTTAAATCAAATACAATGTATGAATAAAACTGCAATAAACAAAATGTGTATGTATGTCCTTTTTTTGTGGGGGGGGGGGCGGGGGCGCAAAAAAAAGTTATGTACCAAAGAGGGGCCCAGTTGAAAAAGTTTGAGAATCACTGAAATCAATCATTTAAAACCAGAACTTCAATAGATTACACCAAAATGTTTTTTTTTTTTACAATTTTTTTCTAGCAATGTACATGTTTTTTACCCTTCACCTTTGATAAGCGCTAAAACTGGTTAAACTAACTTGAAATACTGACTATACTTCTGGCGGGTAAACAACATGAAATCTAAGCTCAGTTCAGAACCAGGACCAGCACCTTGTAGAAAAACTGCTTTAACAAAGAAAGTTTGTGGCGAACGAGCAGCAAAGGCCACAATTGAATCTTTCTTTATAATAAATACAAATATTTAGACACAGATAAAGACAAAAAACAAACATGTACTTTTGATGAGCTGGCACACACACAGACTCAGACTCACACACACAATATTTCTATGAGAACACACACAACTACAAACAGACTCAGACTCTCACACACTCACACACTCTCAGACTCAGACTCTCACAGACACACACACACACTCAGAATCAGACTCTCACACACTCAGACTCACACACACACACACACAGACTCAAACACACACACAGACTCAAACACACACACACACACACACACAAAAACACCTACACACACACTCAGACTCAAATACACACACACGCAGACTCAAATACACACACACGCAGACTCAAACACACACACACTCAGACTCAAACACACTCACTCACACACACACACACACCCACACACACCCACACACACACACACACACACACACACACACACACACACACACACACCCCCACACACACACACACACAC